CAAAACCGGTGGGCTCGCCAGAACCCACGGGTTTGGGCCATGCTCATGCGTGCGTTTAACTATAGTGTGTCATCCAAGGGCCATCGAGGTCGCGGCTCGGACCGAAACCCCGATGGTCGTCGACTGTGCGGTGGCTGGGAGCGGTGAGAAACGCCCTAGAACGCGGGTATACTTGTGTACGCTTTGTGTTGGTCTCGCCGTGCTCGGAGGCGAGGGCGAACTGATGTGTTTGTTGTTACACGAACTGTGGGTGTAGTGTTATCCGGCGGGACCCCCGACGGTGGGTCCAACGTAATAAAGTCCCCTTCCTCGACCGGGTCAATGACGTCGTTTCGCGGGGGACGCTTGTTGACGTTCGTGTTTGTTTCGGGTTGGTAATTTAATGCGCTTACCACCAGAGGGTTGGGGTGATGTTCGGCTCTATCGAAGAACCATTTGGTCAGGTCTTTAAAATATTCACGAATCGTCGGGAGTCTGCAATTGCTGTGCAGGTCGACGTTGCGTTGATACCACTGCGGACCCGTTGCGCGGCGGATGAACTTATTTTGTACTATTTGCAACTTATACAAGCGAGTAGGGTGCGTGGTTGCGAAGGTCATGCATGCGTAAGACATAATACGTCGTATGCTTATATAATAATAATTTGTGCCTTAAGGGCATTTTACTTTTAGCGGAGACGAACGCGGCTCTATTAATGTGTTGTGTGTCGAAAGTGAGTCCTAAGTATTTGACCTTTTTCTCCCAGGGGAGCGGTTGGTCATAAAGGGATATTTGCCTCAACTTTTTGCATTGACGAGGGCCTATATTTGAAAAGCCCTGCTGTAACTGTACTTACAAATACGCACACGATAAGTTCCGGAAATACCGGAAATTTTAAGTTTAACTGACCGAAATGATGTAGAACATATTAAAACTTAAACTCTCGTAGTTTAAGTTTGTATGATGATTGGACCCCACCAGAGGTTGTCGTGTAGCCGTAGTTCAGTAGAAATTGGTATCGATTAAGCTCTCGGTAGCCCGTGAGTGCGCGGTAAGCAGTCAACTCTGGCAGAGGTAGAGTTTCTGAGAGTAATTGGTGGTTACTTGGATATGCGTAGCCAGACATCGTACGCAGAGCTTAAATGTTCTGGTTTATCTGATTTGATTGTCTCTTGTGAGATATTGCGACAGTTGAGTTAGTTGTGCTTTGAGTTTCCTGATACTAAATTTTAATACTGAAACGATTGTAGAATTAATGCTAATTATTCCAATAAATTTGGTTTTTAGTATAAGTTTTAGTAGTTTTGTTAAAATAAAACACAGACTTCTAGAGTTTGAATCTCGATAAATGAGATGTCAAGAAACGGATGTCTTCCTAGTTAGGTCAGGTACGACCGAGCTATGTGATACTGTGTGATGAATATTGTTCCAGATTAACTAATTACCTTTGGTGAAATGTATCAGTTTCTTTTTTATAATTGAGCTTAGTATCCACTTTATTTCAATGAGTAAATCATTAAGATGATAATATCAGTTTCCAGAGAAATTGGAGAGAACTTAATGAGGACGAAGGGGTTAGACCTTCATGTGAGAAGTGACTGTAGTATGCAATAGCTCGAGTCGCATGCGACTCTATGCTAGCCGTAGTATTTAGTGTGACTTATGTCTACTATGGAGATGTAAGCAATCGTAAGGATGCCGGATGGAGGCATGACAATATGTTGTGTAACTTGAAACGCGTACTAGTTTGTCTCACTTGTGTGCCGGATGGAGACATTAGTGTGTTTTGTGTTGAAGTTAGATACCGGATTTAGGTCCCACTTATTTGTTGGTTAGAGGTCAACAAGGTTTTCTCTAAATTCTGGTTCAGGCGATTTAGTGGAAAACTCTTTGATCATAATTGTAAAAACTTGAAATGCCAGTTGAGCCTCATAATATGAAGAAATAATATCTATTGGTTCACAAACAGGAACTATTAATTCTGAAGATACTGCATGTATATTTAGATTCTGAGGACTGTATGCGATTCTGTTATGTATAACTCAGTACGGGAACAAGGTCCCTTGGTGGATGATTAAATTGGTTTACACTGTAAGGTTGCAAGTTGTGAACTAGTCCAGTTTTAGCTGAAGGGGTCTCACCTGCTGCGGTTGGTTGATGACCTAGACCAGCGCTTTGTGAGCTGCAGGGATTTCATCCACGTGATGATTATCTAGACCAGCTAAAATGTGCTGTAGGGGTATCGTCTTAAAAGACGATTACCTAGTCCAGCAAGTATTACCATGTCTAACGCTGCAGGGATTTCATCCACGAGATGATTATCTAGACCAGCAAATATGTGCTGTAGGGGTATCGCCTTGTATTTAAAGACGATTACCTAGTCCAGCAGTACTACAATATGTCTCCTATCTAAATTTTGTTTTAAATTGTTTTTTGTTTACAGTAAAGAAACTTTTTTCGCCCGACGACGTGCGATCGTCAGAATGGCCGTGACGGTAGCTGACATTTAGTGCAAGAAAGAGACAGCGATATTATGCGCTAGCAGCACGTGCACCGGACGCTTGGTAGAAAGTATAAAATAGACCGCTCCGTTGTGGCTGCACGCATTTTCCAACGAATGCGTCTCGGTGCACGGACTGCTGTCTCAGTACGAGTCTCTGCCCGGTACGGCTTAGTCGGTAACTCTTGCCAACTATTTGGCTGGTGTAAAATCTCAATCTATTATTTAATCTGTATTAATATTAATTGGGTGTCTACCTACTTTAATATCATTTCTGTTTTAATGTCGGATCATTTATTAAGTCATTAGTAAGGTTTTAATTAATAAAACATTTTATAACCGTATCCATCCTTGTCTTTTACTTCGGATGTCTGAGCATATCCCGACATATATATTATTAACTTTTATTGTGATTAAACGTTCTTAAACGTTTTATTTTCATCTTAATTGATCTTTATTATGACTAATTAATAATAATATTTATTATTATTAATAGGTCGTTACAATAGTCAGAAATTTTTATTCTTAGGTACTTTAAAGAAAGTAAGTTATCAAAATTGCAGAATTGATACGATATTGGGATCCGAATGAAGAACTTTAGTGTCGAAGTATGAGTCCCTGTTCAGAGTCAGTGTTTGTTCTTAGTGATATAGTTTTAGTTTGTTTTTTTAAAAATTGCCCTTATTGTATATGCCTTATCCTGTGTTGTAAGAACGTTTTACATACATACACGCGGACAAACACTCAGATCCTAATCAATTATCTGTGGGTCACACAAATAGTTGCCCCGTGTGGGGATCAAAACCGGACCCCTCGAAACAATGATATTTACGATGATAAAATGAAAGTAGACATATTCTATACGTTCTTAGTTACTTACAGAACACTAATTGACCACATTTATTCCGCATTTGAAGATTCGCTGTATCCAATTTTAGTTTTAAACGATTAATATACCTTCATCGCAAAGCTTTGGGTCATTGAACGACAATAGTTAAAGAGCTGTACAGTGGCCAACCGTGTAGGCAAATGTGCATTGGCAAGCCAGTAATCCGCCTGTCTGCGGGCAACCCGATGCGTCTGCGGTCGACTTCCTAAGTCATCATCTACGCTCTGGATTGTGTTCACCGCACGCCGCTCCGTAGGCCGTTTGAGGGGATCGCCTGTCGACGCACGCTTTGTTGTCTGCATGTTGTTTGCACTGCACATTGTTAAGCACATAATATATGCACGTAGAAGATCCTGTTAGAGAACGCACTCGGTGACATGTTTGCGTAAGCGTGAACGTTTTAGATGGTAATGTGTGGCATGTAATTATTCTAACAGACTATTTGCAATATTCGTTAAAAAACCGTATCTGTAAAGTGAAATTTATAGATTCCTGGCCCATGTATTATTGGCAGTTTGGTTTCGAATTATAATGACTTTTCGCAAATCAAAAACTTCTTGTTTCATTTACAAATTTTTACAACAAATAAACTTCTGAAGCACTATTACGCTACAGTTACCTCAGATTTTCCTTGAAAATGATAAAGTAAAGCTTTTAGTGATTGCATAAACGATCATCAATCGTAAAGCGAAACTTCGAAACAGCGAACTTCCATGCTACGGAAGCTCCTGCATATGCTATGAGCGTAGACGCGGCTACGGACAAGCGCGTTTACAGGACTAGACGCTACGTCTTAATTAAGCACTTCGGGATCGGTTCACGCGGCGGCCTTAATTAAAACATAACGCCGACGCCGCTTACTGTACAAGTTTGTTTGTACGGGCTTGGTTTTAACGATTTCCAAGAGTGAAGTGTTGTTTATCGTTCGCGGAAGTTGTAACAAGTTTGAATTGTAAATACCGTGTGTCTTGCGTAGCTAGAGGAAACGTTACACTTAAAGTTAGTAATAGTCTAAGAAGCCTTTACTTAAACTTATTAAACGAAAACACTGTTATTTTGTACAAATTTATACATGATTATGAGTTGTGAACTTATACATTATGGCTGTTATTTTTCTAGTCTAAAATTTTCGGGGCTCTAACTCTAGGAGGAATATAAAGTGATAATTTAATTAAATATCACAAAGATTATTGCGTACAAATTTTATTAATATGATATGTTCTTTTATAATTTGCTTGATGAATTTCGGCAAAAGATAAATATAACATGTACTTACCAAATTTAAGTTAACTCAGCTATAACAAATTAGCTTCAAACACCTTGTTTTACATTATGTGTGTTTGATTTTCATTACAAACTATAAGTGTTGTATTTCTGCGTCTCGTCTGGTGCGTGAGGTAGCTGGGGCCCACTTTATCAAAAGGTGGCAACGCATCTGCAAACCTACGGGTGTTGCAAATGTCAATGGGCGGCGGTTATCCCTTAACATCAGACGAACCGCCAGCCCGCATGCCACCTTCTCAAATAAAAAAATGTATTGTGTGAAATAAGTAAACAATGCGGGTAAAATGTAGTTAAAAATAATTGAAATAATCTTAATGGCACGCATCCGTTCCCGATAATTAATGGCGAATGCGACTCGCCTACGACCAGGCCCTGTATGCAGTCATTAGGCGCGCCGCAAATTTCGTTCACCCGCAAGCGGAGGGTTCCCGACGTGAATTTATAACGGGAATCCGACAGCTGCTTAAAGTGATGATGCAATTATTCTCCCTAAGCAACAATTGAATGCAAGTCACCAAGGACATAATTACTCATGATTCTCGCGTGGTACTAAAACCAGAATCGCTCCCTCCGGTTTGCACGCTACTAAATACATAGTGAAATGCGTTTATAGTCTTTGAGTACAGTGGTTCACAGGTGGTAGGTCTCACTGACTAGCTTAAGCAGAAAGATTATGTTTCTGTTCAATTTGTGGTTGGTGTGTAAGAACATATTAGAAATAATGTAAGAGATACAATCTAAAAATTGAAAATTATTTCATACGTATAATATCGAGTCGATAAATTCTTGAAGTGTTTTATCGCTTCTGCCAGGAATCGAACCTATGCTTCAGCCACTAAACTAAGTGGTCGATACCACTTAGTTTAGTGATACCACCTGGTTTGACGACGTATATAATTTGCTTTTATTGAATTTTTGGCAAAGCTCGACGCCATCTAAACGTAGTTTAAACATCAAGAACATAATGTATATAGCATTCTTTTTTATTAATTTTAATGTAGTGTATGGCGATAGGACTCGCGATCCGATTATGTCATTTAGGTGAATACGTGAGTGCTATTATTATTATTTATATTTGTTATTATATTGATATTTTTTGGAGCAAAATCGAATGCCATTGCTACAGTGATAGACGTGTTCGCTTTCTCTTGCAGTACCTGGGTTCGTTCCCGGCGGCCGGCGGCGAGCACGCGGCGCGTGTCGACACCGTCACCCAGCGCCTGCACCTCATGAAGGTATTTTTCTAAATAGTAGTGGGAAATGGTCACATAAAAGTAGCTATAAATATTTTTTATCTATCTAAAATCATTATACTCTACGTACTCGTCCGTTTGTTTTCATTCATCATGTTTTCATTTAAATGTCTCCACTTCAAAGAAACCGTTAATGAGATACTTAAATCTACTCTTAAGCTACATCAGTTAGTTTTTATTTAATAAATATAAATCTTTACATAATAATAGTCATGGGGAGGAAGCTCAAGTTTTAGGCGATTAGTGGTAGAACTACGAAGGCTTTTTAATGTTACATGATTGGACCAACTTGTCACGTAAAGTACCTCAGTCTTACAGACGATCGGTGTAAAGTAAAAACACTTATAGATCGTTGGTTAGATTAACCGCTACTCCGCCTCTTACGAAATGTAGCTTCTTGTGATTGCGTGTGCAATTGTGATCACTAACTTGCTTTCTCTTTACGTAAAGATGATCTTCTAGATCGAATTTTCTACCAAATCAATATTAGCCTGACGTTATAGACGCATCGATAAGTTATTCAGTAAACCAAAAAGATGTTGAGTGCACATAAAATCGTCACAAAATTGTGTGATTAAAAAAAATCATTAAATCACATCTTATATATTCAGAATGTCTTAGAAATATCAAACTTCATATGTTAAACATCAAATGCCAAAACATCAACTATCCAGTACGGGTTATTCACCTCTCAGACCGTTTACAGACGTGGGAAGTAATAATTCATGATATGAGGACCGTGAGACTAGAGACCGTGCTTTCAAAGTGTCAAGCTACCGAGCGTGACACTGAATGTCACGCCAGTGCGTCACAAAGACACGCGGATAACGTTGAGAAGCAGTTTATCTCTCTACATAGTATACAGTTGAAACAGAATTAATGAGTAATTTGTAATGTGTCATAATTAAAATCTAAATTCCATTTTTCCAACCTATTTATAAATAACCCGTAAGAAATGGGCTAACATGACCCCAAGCTATTCGAATGAAACGACGCAACTTTTCTCTACTTGACTTTTTTTCACAGCATCAGTAAGGAAATGAAGGAACGTTTAATTATTATTACTAATATTATTTTAACTATTATTTTAATATTTAATTAGGAAATTAACTACGCCAGCGCAAAAGGATTTTAAACAATTGCATTATTTATAGCGAAGATTACAGCACACGGACATTGCAACATAAACGCGTTGCTGGCACCAATTCGCATTCCTTAATTGGGAATTAATCATGAATTTCAAGTGCTGAGTTGTGGGAGGAAACCATCATATTTAAAAAAAAAACAACAAAAAAAAAACATTTCGAAGATATGTGACGTCAAGTCCGCCCATCCGCAGTGGGGTCACGGGGTGAACCATGCCCTGATCCCCTCTAGATAGAGGAATCTTTGCCCAGCATTGGGATGTCCCAATGCTGTTATTGTTCCACTTGATCCAAGTTTAAGTATGTAATTAGACTGTACTTTGGACTGTGTACTCGACTGGATCTTACTTTACTCTACTTACGTGCATATAACATTTTGACCAACAGTCGTAGAATGCCTCTGGCGATGATGAGAATAGGAAAGTTTTCGGTTTAACGCAATTTGAAATTTATTTAGTATAAGGTAATATCTATCTCGATTGATCTTCATATAATTTTCAATTTAAAAAACAATTGTGCATATTTTTGCTAAATGTTACCTAGGTTGTGAACGTTAAATTTTCCCATTAATTTGTTTCGAAAATGATACACTAAAATCCCATCGTTGTGCCGATCCATATTCGATTGTTTAAATATTTGGGCTTGGCGTTTTGCGATTTGTCGAAACAGCCGGATCTTTAGGCGACCTATTTCCCTGGGGTGCGTTTTGCCCCAGCCGCTCTCATCTCATGTCGGGAGCTATCAAACGAAACGGGAATTTTCGGATGAACCTTCGCCCAGATAACCTCAGATGACGTCCGCCGAATCTAGGCTTACTATTGTGGCTAGGCTTTGTTCGGTGGCTGCAACATTTTTTCTTAGTCAGTCAATGTTACATATCAGTTTTTGGTTTGTCTTGAGTTTGTATACATATCAAAATCTGCTAATAGTCTTATGCAGATTAAAATCGGCAAGAAACTTTGTAGCTACATCTGCATTTGCAAAATTTTTAAAACAGTTTATCACTGCATAAATAGGTTTACACAATTAGGTACTTATATATATTTTTTTTTTAATTTTATGAAGTACATTAAAAAGTGTGCATATATTTAGTTATTATTTGTTATTTGAAGTTCACAGCCAGGGCCTAATATTGTTTAAAATGTGTTTTACAATCATCAAAAATAAACGAAGTTGATCTAAGTGGTAAGAGAGTAAGACTATTGCAGTATGTTTTATAATTGAAGCTTAAGGTAACAAAATGTTTTGAAAACTTTCTATTCAATCTTTATTAAAATGTTATGTCTATAGCTTCGTGAATGTTGAAATAGTGATAATATTTTTATTTCGTAAAGTTTTGCTTTACTAATAAGTTTATGTTTTTAAGTTATAAGTTTTATGTTTCGTTAGGTTTATGTTTTTACGCTGAAGTAATAATATTTCTATTTCTTGTATTCTTGTGAAATTTATTGTTTAATAAAAAAAAAAATTTGAAATTTAAATTGTTTATAGTGCTAATCTTTGCACTTAAGATTGAACATTAAAATATGTAGAAAAAGTGCGAAAAGATTGTCGCCGCTGTGGGAATCGAACCCACGTCTTCAGCATTCGCGGCCTGACGCTCTAGCCACTGAGCTAAACGGCTGATTACCACACCGACGAAAATCTTAACGTATTCTTCTACATTGTTTTCTGAGCATTTGAAGCAATGCTGGGCGCCATCTATTGTTATATCCTTTCCAGCATACAAACAACTTCGAATATCGTTTTTACAACGATAATTTGAACGAGAGATGTCGCCATTGCTTATTTAGACATTTAAATTGTTTATAGTGCTAATCTTTGCACTTAAGATTGAATATTAAAATATGTAGAAAAAAGTGCGAAAAGATTGTCGCCGCTGTGGGAATTGAACCCACGTATTCGGCATTCGCGGCCTGACGCTCTAGCCACTGAGCTAAACGGCTGATTACCACACCGACGAAAATCTTAACGCATTCTTCTACATTATTTTCTTAGCATTTGAAGCAATGCTTGGCGCCATCTATTGTTATATCCTTTCCAGCATACAAACAACTTCGAATATCGTTTTTACAACGATAATTCGAACAAGAGATGTCGCCATTGCTTATTTAGAAATTTAAATTGTTTATAGTGCTAATCCTTGCACTTAAGATTGAACATTAAAATATGTAGAAAAAAGTGCGAAAAGATTGTCGCCGCTGTGGGAATCGAACCCACGTCTTCGGCATTCGTAGCCTGACGCTCTAGCCACTGAGCTAAACGGCTGATTATCACACCGACGAAAATCTTAACGCATTCGTCTAAATTGTTTTCTTAGCATTTGAAGCAATGCTTGGCGCCATCTATTGTTATATCCTTTCCAGCATACAAACAACTTCGAATATCGTTTTTACAACGATAATTCGAACGAGATATGTCGCCATTGCTTATTTAGAAATTTAAATTGTTTATAGTGCTAATCTTTGCACTTAAGATTGAACATTAAAATATGTAGAAAAAAGCACTTTTTTCTAAAAGCAAGATTTTCGTCGGTGTGGTAATCAGCCGTTTAGCTCAGTGGCTAGAGCGTCAGGCCGCGAATGCCGAAGACGTGGGTTCGATTCCCACAGCGGCGACAATCTTTTCGCACTTTTTTCTACATATTTAAAAAAAAAATTGTCTGAACGTAGCTCAGTTCGTTTGATCAAGACTTGAAATAGTTTTTATTTAATCTTTAAATTTAAACATTATTGCACCGCTGTATATAGTACAATACGTCAGAATATGAATAATGTACTATAGGAGGCAAGCAAAAAGCTATTTTTCGTGTGACGTTTAGGTTGGAATCGAAAAAAGTGGCGAAATATGAAAGATTCTGAATCTGTGAATGTTAGAAAAAAGAAACGAAGAGATAGTGTCTAACCTGTGTCTGTATCATCCTAAGGTTGACTGGGAGATAATGCCTATGGTTTTAAGTCCGCTTTTGTACTTTATGTACATTAAGAATAAATATAATAAATAGTGAATGAAAAAAGGGACAAAAAAGGAGTTCGGTAATCATAAAAACTATACTTTAGCTGTTGTACTAAAGTGCTGGACCTTGTCTGTAACAACTTTTACATTTCGGACGAAAACTTTATGAGATAAAACAGCTGTTGTCTCGTTGAAAGAGTTGAGCAATACTAAAGGATATATAAAATTTTAAAACCTTTTTTTTTAATGTTGTGTTTAAAACCTCTTTTTTATGTTACGTATCATTTATTTTCGTACACATTTTTTTAGACATGGTAATTTTTTTTAATTGTCTGTCTGATCCAACACTACCACTTTTTATAAAGATTTCAATAATGAGAATGGCACTGGTCAATACATGATTATAACAACGTGTTACTACTATAAATGATGCAAAAATTTATATTTTCACTATTAAATAAAAAAATATTATATTAATAATTAAAACAAAAAAAAAAAACCGTTCGCATGCTCAATGCCATTCAGGAGAGTACTAAAGTAAAGGCTATAATTTTCACGTTTTATGGTTACACAAGGAATATTTGGAATAAAAAGCCGGCCAAGTGCGAGTTGGACTTGCGCACGAAGGGCTCTTCAGTTCTATAAAAACAACAAAAAACATCAAGTCTGTTGTACGTAAGAGTCCCACAAAAATATTTTTTATTCTGTTTTTAGGTATTAGTTGCTATAGCGGCAAGAGAAATACATCATCTGTGAAAATTTCAACTGTCTAAAAATCACGGTCCATGAGATACAGCCTGGTGACAGACGGACAGACAGATAGACAGACAGCGGAGTCTTAGTATAGGGTTCCGTTTGACCTAAAAATACCTTGTCCAAAGCATTTACAGT